GGATTACGAACTCCACCATCATACGTACCTCCCCCTTGGATGATGATATTTGGAAACAGTGGATATGGACACTGGGATACATGGAAATGGATATATGGAAATTGTGGAAATGGTCTGGATATGACGGAACCCGGGGCATACCTTAACGGGGTGTCGCTGTAGACCTTTAATTGGGTAGTCTGCGCGCGTAGGGCTGTTTTCAGGCGTACGTTTCTTGATTCTTCGTCCGTACGTGCTGGCTGAGAGTTAGTCCCCCAGTTGGACGGCTCGTCCCTAGCCACATAGTCCGTTTGAGGGCTGATAATTGTGAGCTAGTCAACAATCCCCTGTTGGATTGTTTTCCCCTGGTACATGATGATGGTGAGAGGTGGGTGTGTTTATGTATATATATAATTATTCTTTTCTTGTTATACATATTACATATATGTATATGTGGTTTTGATTCTGGTTTGAGATTTGTGAGCCTGCACATGTATGAACGTATAAGCCCTGGATTTGGGCAGTGTTGTTTGGCGCCATACGCCTTGGATATGGTATGGTTGCGGGATTGAACTGTTAAAATGGGAATAATTGGATAATTTGTTTAATGTACATACGCCTTGAATAGGGTATGGTTACGAATTTGAACTGATACAAAGGAAGAGTTTGAGAATGTGTTCATTGTGTTTTTGTCGAATTTGAAATTGTGATGGATCCGAAATGTGTAGTTGGTTATGTTGTGAATGATTGTTTATTTTCGGAACTGTGACCGTTGAGATGAGAACTACGTGTGGCTTGATCCCTTGTCCAAGGGTACGTAGGCAGCCTGGGGTCTCATCAGGCGCAGCCGCGAAATATGATTGTGTTTAAAAGGTTTGATCGATTCTGCGCACGTGATTTTCGATGTTATTGTTGGGTTTGAATTCGGTTTAATGATTTCCGTGGTATTTATAAAGTTGTTTGAGACCATTAATTGTTTGGTTTATGTATTGTTCGACTTAAGAATATTGTTGGTGTTGTTTCGAATTATCTGAAGGCCGGAGGCCGATTATATGAATTGCATGAGATTAAATTGTGCGTGCTGCCTGTTGGTATATTAAAATGTGAATTTTGTGCAGATTGAAATTTGGGAAATGTTCAATTTATAGGGGAGACTCTGCCGAAATTTCGGTAGGAAGTCTCGTGCTCTTTTCCCTTAATTTGGAAAAGAGGCTGAGTTTTTAGTTAGTGGGCCCGACATCGGTGTGATGTCTAAATTTTCACAGGATTCGTCTCGAGTTTCGAGGAATTCGGGGCGGGTCCTGTCATGATATGCTTGGAATTATTGATGGTTCTGATCCTTGCCTTTCACAATATATCTCTGACCCTAACAATCCCCACAACCCTCTTCTCAACCCTTCTTTTCTTCATTGGCTAAAAAAGGATCGAACTTGCAAGATTTGGATGAACTCCTCCCTCTCTGAATCCATCTTGCCCTACACTCCCTCTTTTCATGTCCCTTTTGTTTTTTGTTTTTTGTTTTTTTTGACAAAATTTTTAAAAACAAGTGGTTGTAACATGTATTGAATATGAATTTTGAATTTTTTTTATTGGAATTAAAAGTTTTTTTTTTTTTTTGGTTCCAAGGAACTAAAAAGTTTGGGTTATTAAACTTTTGAACAGTTTATAAAAGATAAATTAAAAATTGCACAAAAAAATATTTGGGTAATGCTAGGGAGACCATCTATTTTTACCATATTTGTGTACCATCTGATGTGGCTGTTAAGTTGGCTATGTCACATCTTCTTTTCTTTTTTCTTTTCTTTTTTTCATACGGAAAAGGAAAATTACAAGTAGAAACCGCGTGGGCACGCATGCCCAAGCACGTCGAAAAAGAAAGGAACCGAACAATTCAAAGGCAACCCCGTCTTCCACAGCTTGGAAGGATTCAGCCCATGGCCCAAGTTAGCAATGGCATCCACCGTAAAGTTTGCCTCACGGTAGACATGATTGAAAGACAGAGCTCCACAGAAGGAACTGATAAGCCTTATATCCTGAATTAAAGGAGTTTTTAACATTTTTTATTTTTTATTATTTTTTTCACCCTTCACTTTACAGAAACCCAAGCACATGAGAAGTTTTGTTTCCCGTATCTTCAACTGGCTCTTTGCCTAACTCCTCCCCTTCCTCCTCCCTTATGTTCTCCCTAATCTGTCAAAATAAACCAGAGTTTTCCAATCTACCAGCGACAAAAAAATTAACCACTATTTTCTATTACTTTGCCTACCTATAAGTGCAATCCATCATTGCACAAACCACCTGCCAATGCCATGTCCCAATCTTTGAAATTTGATTTCTGAAAACGAAATCAAAAGTCTAGTTATAATTATGAAAATACAGATTCAACATCTTCAAACATAACCTCCACCAGTCAAATCATCACCACCAACACAGACAATTAAACCCACTCAAATCATAACCACCACCTAACCAGCATAGCCAACTCAATAGCCATACCAGATGGTACCCAAATATGGTACAAATAGATGGTCTCCCTAGCATATTACCCAAAATATTTATATTACTATGCACAGTAATTCAAGTACCATACTGATAAATCACATATTACCATATCTAAAATACGTAATACTTTTGAGGTGTCCCTAATAGTATGGGCAACTGCAAAACATTTTTTTATATTTTTTTTTATACTTAATTAATTTAAACATATTTTTATTGTACCAATTTCTGTTTATTTAATAAAATATCTTCACTTTTAACTTTCTTATTCGCCAAGTGGAATTTATGGGGTTTTAAATGTTTCAACCTTCTACCTTTATATAGATAGATAAATACAGAAAAATCAAAACAATTTCGTATTACAATTTTTACATGTATGTAATTTATCATATGGGACATAAAATGGAAAAAAAAAAGGTGAAAACATATAAATAAAATGTTAGTTATACTAATAAATATCCTTCAAGTTTTTGGCTTTTTCACAAAAAACTCATGAGGTTTTTGAAATTACACAGACACCTTCTAAGATTTCAAATTATTTTCACAAAACCCTCTGAGGTTTTCCCAAAACCTCTTTTCGTTAACTGTTGGTCCAAAACTTGATGATTTCATTTAAAAAGGCGTGTGCAAATGACAAAATCAACCATGGTAAAAATAAAATGCAAGGGTAAAGTTGGAAAGTAAATAATTTTCGTTTAAGGAGCTGTTGCCAGCTGGGGTCCGTACGCGGGTTTTTGGTGAAACCCGATCGATCGATGCGAATTTAAATACTAGTCGGTAGTTGAAATGAAAAGCCATTCTCTGTTTTGTTTTCTTCAATTTGGCGCCTTAGCTTCGTCGTTTTCACGCACAGTGAGATACAGGGAAAAATGAGTTCGAGTTCATGGAGCAACATCTTCTGGAACCTTCTTGGAGAACAAAATTCGTTCTGAGAAAGCCTAATTGGGAGAATGTAAGTGAATCTTTTCTGGGTTCTTTTGACTTGTTTTGAATTTCAATTTTCCTTGTCTTTTTGGGTTATCTGTCAATTTGCAATTTTAGGGTTTTCATTTGTAAGATTTTAGAGCATTAGATTGATAATTGAGTCAACAGAGCCGCAATTTCATTTATTATTTCGCTGGGTCTGCTGCTTTTCACAAAAACCAAATGCTAATTATGATACTGAAGTTCATAGCATCAAGGGGAGATCCTTATTCTCATTCAACCTGAGATTTTTTGTACTAAAGTTCTGGCCTTTAGAGAAACATTGATAATCTGCAGAGATGAAACTGTGAATTGACAAGTAAACCTTTGCCCATTTAATAGAAAAAGTAGTGTGTGCAAGAAACTTTACCCATTCAACACTTCCTGAATTTTTGTGTGGAACTATGCTTTTTGGGACATATGAAACATAACTTCATAAGACAGGGATAGTATTTTACGCAAGAAACTTTGCATGTTGGGTTTTTTATATTGCTGATATTTAACTCTCCTCTGCCTTTCTAGATTGATTGAAATTGTATAAGTAGCAGTTCTGTAAATGGATAGGTTTCCATTCAATTATTAAATGATGCTAATATTTAAATGGGATTCTTCTTGTGCCTTAGAGCATCCACAATGGTTGCTCAACAGTTCATTTCTTGTGCCTTAGGTTATGTGAACACGATTTTTTGTTTCCAAACTTACTCGGTTAAGCTAGTTGTCCAATCCAATGTAGGAGTTAAAAAACCAATATAGTCTGTTTAAGGATAAAATGGGTCTGAGAGATTCACTTTTCCGTCATTTTCTTTGAAACCAAACAGAGGGGTATTAACGTGTCTGGTTTTTGGTTTGCTTCTTACTAATAAAATATGTTTGTTATTTACAGTTGGATATATTTATACCCAATCGGGCGGCACTGGACCTTGATTACGTGCATTACATGGTCACAGGAAGGAGAAAAGGAATCAAGAACCCATGAGCTGCAAGCTCAACATATCAGAAGCTACTGACTGAGACCTTCAACATGAACCGAGCACGAATCTTCACATTCAAGAACAAACTGCCAACCCCAGTTGAAGCCATTCCAAGGAGATTGCCTTCACCCCTCTTCATAAGGCCAAATCTATCAAGCCCTGTCAAAGGATTCCTAAGGTATAATTGCACTAATATCATCAAACTTGAATTTGGATTGTGGACTCTTGAATTCCTTGTGAGAATGTGAAGGTTGAATTCCTTGTGAGAATGTGAAGGTGACAATGTCCCACATTGGAAAGTTAGAAAACCTTGCAAGGGCTTATAAGGAGTTGGGCTACTTCGCCATTGCCAATTGGTTTTCGGGTGCAACCTCAACTTCCTTCATTCCTAAGGTATAGGTAATGCTAGATTTAAGGGAATTGTAAATCTGCCTGTATAGTGCCTGAAATGATGATAATATGTAGTGTGTGTAGTGATCATCGTATAAGGGAATCAAATTTTTCTTAGGATTGTGACTGTAATGATGATCATATTGATTTTTCTGTGTGGCTATTCTAATTCTTTCAATTTGATTTTGCAGGGTTTAGAGAGAACGTTGGACGCTCCCGGTATTGTAGATAATTTCTACTTGAATTTACTAGAATGGAGCAGCAGCAACATTCTTGCAATTGCTCTTGGAAACTCAGTGTACCTATGGCAGAGCTCACTGGCCATACCTCCAGAGTTCTCTTCATGACACAGGTACTAATTTGGACTTTAATTTGCACTTTGGCAAATTCAATTATGTTTGCGTATTTGATTTCATGGATTGATTTTCATTTGGAATAAATTTTCATGGCAACTTCATATGGTAGTTACATTTACACATTCTAATTGTTTGTAACTTATGCTGTTTATGTTTTCAGACCCCAGGTGGATGCACTGTGGCCACTGCAGCCGCGGATGAGACGGTTCGAACTTGGAATGTGTTTGGGATTCCGGGAGTTTCAGAACCTCTACGAAAAGAAAATCTGCTGCCATTTGCTCATTCAAGCTCCATTCGTTGAAGATCATGTAAATGCTGGAGAGAAGTTTGTCTGTTTTGTCTCGGATGCCAAACCAAGCAGATAAGTGTATATGGTGTACATTATTGTTTACAAGAGCAAAAGCAAATAAGTGAATATGGTTACACGAATAGAGAAAAAGAAAAAAGCAGTTTTGATTAGTGATTGGCATGCAGTCTCTCAGTTCAGTATATCTGAATAGACAATATAACTCTTTTACACGCCTCACATTCATTGTAAATTGATTTTAAATTGAATGCTTCAACATTATCGTGTCATATTGAAGCGACAATTCTGAGTGCATTGAGAATATTAATGAGTACAATTCAGAATCTACGATTTTTCTATGGTATGAACACTTACTAAGTATGTATACCAACGCTGACAAATGACCAATCGAAGTGTATTAGACCAAAGAGACGGTGTATTAAGGACACTGCTTTCCTCCTTCCCTGAAAAGAGACATTCTTACTTCCAGCAAATCATGGTTTTACACATATGCAAAAATAATTCGTTAAAAACTCAAAAAGAAAAATCTCTACACATATGTCAAACTGTAATTGACAGGAAAATAGGAGTTTCTACTTTTAAGGAAAGAGACAATTATATTCGGTGTATCAAAACCCTTAAAATGATACTAAATGAAAAATGACCAATCAACGAGTCATAATGACGTAACAAATGTGGTATTTTCAAAAGTTCGTACTATAATGAAACCCTTGAGCCATGCCATTTTGCTTTCTCTCTCTAAAAACCCACCTAGACTTGGTCGAGAACCAGCCAAACTCAATCATAGAATTACATATTGGATATTAAGCCTCATGCACTGCACTATAATTTCACTATCAAAATGGCGGTGGACATGCCAAATGAAGAACAACAACTTTATATTGTTTGGCCATTTATATCCTATCCAGAGCAATGATCGGCCTTTCATATGAACACGTAAGAACACATTTATCTTTAAAAATATAAAGTTGGGATAATGATAAATATAAAATCATAAACATAACGGACCCATAAATAATCACTATGGTCTGGTTAGTTGGATCATATAGTTACAAGATAAGGCACAATTCAGATTGAAAGATGAACATAATATTCAAAATCTAATCCAAAACAAGGCACGGATTGATGATTGTGGACCCACAAAATCCTCTCAAAAGGATCCTCATAGTACGACAATTAAATCTCATACGCAAAGTTTGACTTGAGTTTGAGGTTAGTCTAAAAGTTATCGATATGGACGTTTACTACTATTATTAAAATAATGGATATCTTACTTTATATTTCCTTTTTCTTTTTAATATCGCCCTAATAAGTGAATTTAGAACCAATTATAAATATTTAATCAACTTAATTAGTGGCAATAGAGATAATGGGGTGTAATTGTATGGTGTTCGAGTCATATATTGTTTTGTACCAACCAATATTTGTCAATGTAGCATGTTTAATCAATTGTGTTGCAAGAAGTGAGAAAATTAGTAATTTTTTTATATATTCCAATTAGATATATGACAACATCATTACCATAGTCAAAATGTACAACGGCCCGAGCAACTAGACTTAACATAATCTAATTATTGTGCACATTTTTATACACATAAATTCGAATATCTTTATAATTTAGAATATCGCATTGTCAAAACAAAAAAAAACAAAAAAGAAGAAATTAGCACTACGTGATAATATAAAATTCTTCCAAATTAAGTTATTCTTATTCAATACTAATTGCTAATTAATCATGCATCCATGTTATGAGTTTGTGTCAACTAACACCAATTTTAACCCTCTAAAACATCGTGTTGGTTTTTATTTTATTTTATTTTATATAAGTGATATTGAGAAAATGGGAATTTGAATCTAAAATCTCTATTACAGAGATAAATACTCTTATTCACTTGAACTACAAACCATCAAGTTGGATTTAAATCATGTTATTGTGTTACATATGACAAATACCATAACCATGAGGATAAGATAAATTCAAGCAAAGTGATAAACCCACTTTTCCCCAATTACTCTCCCATCCTTGATGTGGTATTCTCCACAACTTATTTATTCTTGAAATTGATATATCAATAGCATATTTCCTTAATAACACACATTACGATTAATAAATACTAGCCCCCAATTGGTTTTCTTTTTTGTTTTTAAAATTTTTAATTTAGAATTAAGAACATATAAAATGGGTAGTTATGTTCCATACAAATAGGATCCATTATCTGATTTTGTTTTAAATTTTTTTAATAAGAAAAATATAAAGAGTGCCACTATTTCCACACTCTTGTCTTATTTTCCCACCCACCTTATCTTTTCACCCACCATATAAATTTGAAAAAACACAATCCTATTTTCTCACCCACCATTATCACTAAAATACCCTTTAAATTAATTCAAACAATTATAAAAAAGAAAAAAGAAAAAAGAAAAAAGAACCATCAACCACCGCCCACCACCCCTCTTTCTTCCTCTTTGTTTATCTTCTTCTTTTCTCTCTCTCTCTAGAAAACAAGGAATACATAAGTTGATTGTGGATCAACCCATAAGTTGACTAGGGTTCAGTTGGACCTGCGATCCATATCCCACCGTCATCGACCAGGGGAGGTAGTGCTGGGTTTGTGATGATTGGTGGTTTCTGTACAATCTTTTTATTTTTTCAATTTTTTTATTCTTTTAATTTTGAGGAAGATGGAGACCACCCTATGAAAAGATTGAAGGATTGAGATTAAGATTATGTTGTTGTTGATGTTAAGGAAGAAAATGACAAATTTTGAAGAGTGCTGCTAAACGAACCCTAAAATTAACTGAGTACACCCTACGATCTAATTACACCCTAATGTTTAAATTAAAATGTAAAATTAACTAAGTACACCCTATTTAACTACAAAAAATACCCATGGTACCCCCTCTTTAATTTTTAATCTTTTAAAGTATTTAAAATAAACAAATAAAGTAAAATAATATTTTAACAAAACTCTCTCTCTCTCTCTCTCTCTCTCTCTCTCTCTCTCTCTCCTACTTCTTCTTCTTCTTCTTCTTCTTCTTTTATCTCTCTCCTATGCAATCACCACCACCTGGTTTGTGTTATTGATTGTTTAAGTTTTATGCATACAAAAATCAACTGGGATCAATACACTTCTCCTGGATTCCGAGTTGTATGTTAAAAATTAAGTCAATTTGTTTGAAGGCATGGGTTCAAAAGCTCAAGCAGTAAAACAAAGATTTTAATTCTTAATTAAATATATTGTCTTCAATCTTTCGAGAGAGGTGTGGGTTTTCAATCTAATTTAGGGAGATTTGGTAGTTTGGGAATTTGGGTACAGCATATCTCAACTCGTCTCAGAGTGGGGTGGGTCGGGAAGGAGAGAGAGCTTTTTTTCTCTTTTTAAAATTTTATTTTATTTTTTGGTTTTAAATACTTTAAAATATTAAAATTAAAGAGTTGACTATAGTTATAACAACGGGTATGCGTCAAGTCTTAAGAATGGTGTACATATTGGGTACACAATTCAATATATCCTTTTTGGTCATTTTATATTAGGGTAAATTAGTAATTCAATAAATAGTTTAATAGTAGGGTGTACTCAATTAATTTTAGGGTTCGTTTAGCAGTACTCTTTTTGAAAACGAACAACATATGTTAAATAAGATTGTTCTTTGTACATGAAAGAGAGATGGAGGAAGGAATTTTTTTTTCCCCTTTTTTTCAAAAATTAATATATTGTGTTGTGAAAGAAAATTAATTAACTTTATATGAATTTTTAAATATGTTTTTTTCAAGTTCTTTGAAGTAATTTTATAAAGGGATAAATTTATCTTTAAAATTTTGAAAATAAGGTGGGTGAGAAAATAGGACATGTGGGTGGAAATAGCAACACTCAATATAAATTGACTATATTATCCTCATTTAATTAATAATTTCAATTTTTAGTATTTGTATTAACCAATGACATTTTCTGGTATTTTGAATGTTTCACCACTCTCTATCTTTTGTTTTATATATATATATATAGATATAGCTTGCTCATATTCACAAGAAAGCATGCTACTAGCTATATAGATCTAAAAACTCTTGTGTACAAATCAACATACAACAACCTCAAACACTTCTAATAAATAATGAAATCAAAGTTCTAGAAACTGAACAAACATTACATGCATGATGATGCTTAATTTAGTTGGAGTTTTCAATCATAAATCTTTTAATAAATTGCAAAGCTTCATTTGAGACTTCTGAGTATGGATCAGCAGTTAAAAACCCATGTTGTTGTCCCTCAAATTCCACATACTCAATTTTCTTCCCCAAGTCTTTCAGCTTTCTCCAGTAGCTCTCCACCCTATCTTTCAAAATTTCATTGCCGCCCACAATAACCAAGATTGGATCAAGGGCCACTTTCTCTAGGTTTGGGCTGTTTGGTCCAAATGGGTTCACCAGTGGGTGGTCTCTGGTTTCTCCTGCTGGCATTGAGAGTCTCCAAAATCTGTATGGCAATTAAGTAATTAAAGAAAAGGAGTTAGCGATGAAATTATGAGTTCAAATCTCACAAACGATAATTGTTTTCGATGAAACTAATCATTTCTTTTCTTAGATATCATATCTCATGATAGATTTCTATGTATTCAGGGTCAAATATACGTGTACAATATTGGAACCATCAAATAATGATTGGTTAAGGGGAGTTGATAATGGATATGGCACTATCTTACGTCATACTCATATTGGATTAAGCACTACTTACATGACAATTAGGCTTACTTGCTTATCTTATCAGATAATATCAAGGGCTATCTAGCTGTATATCTTAATCATTTCGGGTTGGGTAGGTCATCTCATGCTTAGACTGGATTAAGCACTATCTTAAGTATTAATAATGATTAATTAGTGGTAGGTCATTGCGATTATAATTATTATTTTGAAATTGCCCATGCTTTGATTTATTATTTGGATAAGACACCTCCAATATTAAATGGTGTCAAGATCACACTCACACGTAAAAGAAGATAAATGAATTTCACATCATCAACTTTAGAGGGATTTGGAGGTGCATATTCTATTTAGACCATAAAAGCTAGTCTAGACTTCTAGTCTTGGTCGTGTTAGAGGACAAAAATGCAATCCACATGTGCAACATATTTTTTTTTTTGTCAAGATGATGGAACATTTTTAAATTTCATTGACAAAGAACCCAGACAATACGTGTCCCTAGTCAAATTTGATTGAATGGCCTCATATCAGAAACCTTAATTTGGATGGTTTTGGTTTTAGTCAAATTTTACTCCATGAGATTCTCATTTCTTTGTTACTCTCGCTAATAAGTTTGCTGCTTTTTGGAAGGACGATTTTTGGATCCTTATGGATAAAAATGAAGGTGAATAAAAGACAGTCCTGACACATGAGTAGCTAAGTCTTTTCCTTTCAAAAATATATATCGCCGAAAACGGAAAAATTCTTAGCCTAACACATTAAAATTTGTGTAGAAGAAAATGTGTTTGAGCAACAAGAAAATATTTTCTTATTACACTAAAAAAAAAATTGGCAATAATTACCATTATTTGGTGACTGTTGTGAGGGTTATTAAAAGCTTTAGTCACTAAAAAATGCAAAAAAAAAGTGATTAAAAGCCTTTTTAGTCACCAAAAAAGTCAAAAAATGTGACTAATGCCTTTTGTTACGGTCATAAATGTCATCAAATAATGATAACTGTTGCCACTTTTTTTTACTAGTGTTATCTTTTAAATTTAGGTTTTCAAAAAGGAACCATTAAAATGAATATATTTTGTTTGAATATGTAATCTAGATTGAATGTGTACCGTTGAGCAAACTAACAAAGGGACAAAGATTAAAAAAAAAAAAAAAAAAAAG